AGCGCAGGCCTATGATAAGCGCGTGCGCTTCTATCTGGAGCAATGCGCTTATGGCCGATCCTCGATTATAAGCGCACCCCCTGTGAAAACATTACTTTTTATAAGCGCATGTACAATTTTAAATCAAAATTTCCGTTTAAAACTTTAGCGAGTTTCAATTTCGAAGCGAGTACAATCTCATTTTCGCCTAGCTTGACTCTCGAAGACCTGACTGGCTGCGCGTCCAGTCAGGATGTGCTGGCATTACTGCAAAGTGTCGCATCTTGGCCCCTCTGTGCTGGAAGAGAATTGCTTGCACGCGATTCTGCTTTGTGACGGGAAAAAAAAACGACTCGGTTGAAATGGCAAGAGTGAAATATACAATTTGGTGTCTTAAAATTACAATTCAATGTCATAATAAAAGCGCATGCGCTTATACAAATGACTCAATTACAAGCGCACCCCCCTAAAAAACACTGTTTTATTATAAGCGCACCTGCGCTTTTATCCGGGGTGATACGGTATATATACTTGCTCTTGCTTGTTTAGCGTTATATATATGTAATCATGCATGTGAACTGGCCTTGTGGCCTTGACTTGTGCTCAGAATGTGTGGTGGCGTTGTGATCCACCCTGAGCTTGCTTTGCCTTGCTTTGCTTGACTGGTCTTGTGACCCCTTGTTCTCTCCCACTTTGCCTATGGGGGTGTGTCAAACTTATATGATCTAGCCTGTGTAGGCTGTAGCGGGTTAGACACTAAGGGGTACACAATTCTAGGGTTTCATATTTGTATCACTTTCATTTCTTAGTCATTCATTCTCGTTCTAAGTTTCTCACTAGCTGGGAGCTAATCAAAGAAAAGTAGCATTTTGTATGTAGGCTTTTGCAATGTACGTTACGTAGTTCAAACAAGACAAACAGTTCAGCAAGACAGCTAGAAAGACAATCAGACTTGATAGGCGGGTGATTCTGAATCTTTCAGACTTTTATTTTAGGGAACTCTGAACTATCAGCCTTTTTTTTTTTGCAACTCTGTCAGATTCACACTACAACTTTGGGAGAGTCTGACGAATCAGACAGGCTAAAAACGAATCTGAGGGCCTGTTTCTGGGCCAGCGAGTGCACTACAGACTACAGTGTGCTGTGCTGCACTAATCAAATGCCACTCCACTGCTTAAACCCCTGCTGGTTGCTACACTGAAGAACCCAATGTGCTGATGAAAATTTATACGCTGTTGCATTTTTCAGTACCCAACAAATAATCTGTTTGCAATGTATATCGGGTTTGTTCCTGCGTTCCGTCTCGCAAATAGTGAATGCAGTGGCAGATTGATAGTCCCTGCAAGCAATCAACAATCAACCAGCAGCAGCTTGAGAGGTCGTTGCGGCAATGCTGTGAGAAATACATTTGAGTTCTCTAAAAAGCCCATCCATCCATCCAGACCAGATTGATAAATTTGTGTACAGTATTACACTTCCATTTCTTTTACAACTAAAGATACATATCCTAGTACCGTATGGCCCCGGATATAAGCGCAGGCCTATTAAAAGCGCATGCGCTTGTATCTGGAGCAATGCGCTTATGGCCGATCCTCAATTATAAGCGCACCCCATATAAAACCCTGATATATTATAAGCGCATGTGTAATTTTATTTATAATTCTTCATTAAAACGGTAACGAATCTCAGTTTTGCAGCGAGGCCACAACCCATTTTCGCTTACATTGACTTTCGAAGACCTCTCACATCCTGCGCGTCCAGTCAGCACGAGCTGGCACGCCCTCAAAGTGAGGTGTTACACTGTATTTTGCCTCTGGGCGCTCGCGAAGAATCGCCCGCGCGCGATTTTGACATGTGACTTTCTACAATTTCGATTCGATTGAAATCTGAAGGATGAGATGTACAATTTGGTGCATTGAAATATATATTTGTATTTGTTATATTATAAGCGCATGCGCTTATAATTTTTACTCAATTATAAGCGCACCCCCCAAAAAAACACTGTTTTATTATAAGCGCAGGTGCGCTTATATCCGGGGTAATACGGTAATATACAGTGTACACATCACTGCCTACAAGTCATCATTTACTCTCAACATCATTTGGGAGCTGTTCAGTTGGTGTCACCTTTGTTCCAACACACCATTCAGTGTTGTAGCCTATGTATGTACAGTATATACTCCCAAAAGCAGCTGGGAGTTGAGTGTGGGCATTGCACTGATGGCTCTTTCAGGAGCTCCTTCTGTGCGCCCTGCTGCTGCTGCAGCCTGGCCTCGCCGGCCTCTCATGCACCAAACCCTCTTTCCTTCCCGCCTGCTTCTTCACCCCCTCCCTGCCAAACACACCACTTGCCACTGCTCTGCCACCTGCTGCCTTCACACCACCCTGCCTTCCACCTGCTGCCCTCCCTGCTGCTCCCTCCCCACACCCACCCTCCTCTCTCCTCTTCACCACACCCGCCTGCCTGCTGCTGCCCTTGCCAGCTGCTCCCACTGCTGGCCTCGACTTGCTGCTGCACCCATTTTTAACCCATGCACTTTCAACCCCCACCTTGCATCGCGCTGAAACAGCAGGTCTTGAAACCTGCGCTGCTGCTGCAGCTCCTCTGACTGGTGATGCCAAAGCAGGTGAATTCATTGATGTTGTTGCTGCAGCTGCTACTGGTGCTGCTGCTGCTGCTGGTGCTGCTGCACATGGGGTACGCATTGGCTTCTGTAATATTGCTGCAGCTCCTCTCACTGCTGTTGTTGTTGCTGCTGCAGATACTGCAGAGGGAGCAGGTGCTGCTGCTACAGTCGCTGCTGCTGCAGATGCAAGAGGCACGGTTTTGGGAGTCAGATTCGCCACAGCATCAGGATGCTTGGGCACGAAGCAGACACGCAGGGCGGCTTCAATGGCCGCGTCAATCTCCATGGCCCTCCATGCTTGAGCACGTGTCATTGCAATATCCATTGCTCGAACCTCCTGACGCAGCTTCGACCACCTCGCTTTCTCACTTGGATCAGCAGCACGTGCACTCGCCCCCTCAGACCTTGTTTCTGTGGTCACAGACGCTTCAGGCACCTGTGGTGTGGCTAAAGCCACTGGAGCCACAGGCGCTACCTCAGGCACCACCACAGGCGCAACCGCAGCAGATGGTGTGACGGGAGCAGCAGGGACGACCACAGCTGCAAGCACGGCAGCAGCAGGCTTGCCTCCGAAGCGGCCGATTCCAGGCCGCTTAACGTCAGGTGCGTCAGGTAAAACGTGCACCTTGGCGGGCTTGTGTTGCCCGTCAGCGACGCCTTGGGAGGCCAGTTTCTCCAGCAGCGGCCTCACGCTCTTCAGAAGCACGCTGCTGGAGCATGTCTTAACGTCACCATTGCAAGCAGCAGGCTTGGCAGGAGAGTAGCTTACAGGCGAGAAAACGGTTCGCGGGGTTCCGAACCTGCCAATGCCTCTGGTAGGCGTTGCAGGATTGCTCGCCGAGTTGGAAACAGAGTTAACATTGCAGATATCGGCGAGGGAGGCCATGTTACTTGACTGCAGATCGCTGAACAGAAACTGATTGCTGGGCACAGGCTGATTTCTGAACGTTTTTTTCCACTGCAGATCAACAGAACAGCAGAGGAAGTGGGAATGATAAGTTCCATATCCGGCGACTTCATTTCTACTGCACTCCCCCCTCGCCCGCTCAAACCCTCGCCTCCAAGCCTACACGCCCTCATCTGCCTGACCATTGAAGTTCCAGCCTCGGCGTGCCTCGCTGTTTACTCGTAAGCATGCCATGTCATACGAATCTGACGGTGTAGAAACTAGCAGCCAAGTGTGCGGATGGATCTCAAAGCGTCAATTTCTGGGGGTTCAGGTTCGGAAAGCTTGATGGAGCCGCGTCAGGCAAAATCAGCGGAGTGGGTGGTTCGGGGACACTCTCTCGGTGTAGGTGCGTTTCAGGTTCGTCATTCCTCGAGGTGCCTCACCAGTTTCCCGCCATAATTTCGTCCTCGATTTTCCCCTAGCCGTTCCTGATACGCTTTGTTACGACAAATAATGGAAAAGTTTTCTTTTTTCGCAAAACAAAAAAATCGCGACTCAATCGCACAAGCCCACGCGATGGGTCTAACTGGATATTGGAGAGTACGGTGGCTGTGAATCTGTACAGCTGAGGGATTGGGTTGCTGTGGTGGTAGATTTGGATGAGGTACTGGGATTTACGTTTGTGTTGGGGAGAATCGAGGGGGAAGGCAGGATCTAGGTGTCCGCTCTATTAGCAGTCTGTCTTAGCAACAGTTACAAATGCTTTGTGTTTGGCAACGTTCATAAAACATTTGTGCTTGTTGGACACTAATTCGAGTTATTCGCAAGTAAGAAGTTCTTGCGTTACAAAGCGGTCTCACAATTAATCACGCGGTTCTGGGTGTTTCGACGATTGACGGATAACGCCAATCTTGGTGGCAGAAGCAGTATCCTGCAGAACTCCAACTTGGTGATTACAGGCGCACAAGCGATTACGAGCGAGCACAAGCAAATACGAGCGAGCACAGGCGATTACGGGCGATATAAGCGATTACGAGCGCGCACCAGCGATTACGAGCGCGCACAAGCAATCACGAGCGCACACAAGCGAATTCGAGTGCGCACAAGCGATCACAGGCGCACAAAAGCGATTACGAGCGCGCACAAGCGATTACGAGCGCGCACAAGCGACTACGAGCGCGCACAAGCGATTACGAGCGAACACGAGCGCGCCAGGCGATTTCAATCCTTGGTCTGTTCACGAATCATGATTGAAACTAGTCGCACAAGTGATTACACCGATCAGGCAAGGACCACTGTTCCAGGGATTCGCGTTTGAAAAGCGATTTTCATGCTGCAGTCCCGCCGTTTGATGCTGGCGGGAAATGCGAATCCTCATGCCATCCTCGCCGCTCCCCGTTGGACAAGCGGGCAAGGCGGAATGAGCGGACGGAGCGGAATGGCGGAGACGACGAAGAGCAGAAGGCGATAGCGGCGATGGAGGCGAAAGGGGCGGAAGGAAGTTCTCACACGCCGTTTCCTCCTATCGCGCGCTGATATGGCGGTACGCTGACGTGGCGGTGAGAGCGGCGGGAGATATGGGGTTTGGGGGACGGAAGGAGCGGGAGAGAGGGCGTTGGATGCGGAGAGGATGGAGGGGACGGGAGAGTCGAGGGGAGAGGGAGGGGATGTTCAGCGGGGAGCGGAGTGAAGTATGGTGCGCAGTGGTGGGGGAAGAGAAGTATGCCTCCCCATTCTTCCCCATCCCCTCCCATTCTCCCCCAATCCTTTCCATTCTCCCCCATCCCCTTCCGTTCTCCCTCATTTCTTCCCATTTTCTCCCATCCCCTCCCATTCTCCCCCATCCCCTCCCATTCTCCCCCATCCCCTCCCATTCTCCCCCGTCCCCTTCCATTCTCCCCCATCCCCTCCCATTCTCCCCCGATCCTTTCCATTCTCCCCCATCCCCTCCCATTCTCCCTCATGTCTTCCCATTTTCTCCCATCCCCTCCCATTCTCCCCCATCCCCTCCCATTCTCCCTCATCCCCTCCCATTCTCCCCCGTCCCCTTCCATTCTCCCCCAACGTGGCGTGTTTTTCCTGCCATGTCAGCACACTGGTATGCAATGCCAGTCTGACACGTCAGCATGCTGCTATGCCATGTCAGCAGCGATGCCATGTCACGTGGGAAGTGATTTTTTCTGGCATGTGCTTTCTCACCATTGTTGATCGCCTGTGTTTCACCATACCATGTGTGTTTGCACTGAATCGTGCCATGTGTGTTTGCACTGAATCGTGCCATGTGTGTTTGCACTGAATCGTGCCATGTGTGTTTGCACTGAATCGTGCCATGTGTGTTTGCACTGAATCGTGCCATGCGTGTCTGCACTGAATCGTGCCATGCGTGTCTGCACTGAATCGTGCCATGCGTGTTTGCACTGAATCGTGCCATGTGTGTTTGCACTGAATCGTGCCATGTGTGTTTGCACTGAATCATGCCATGTGTGTTTGCACTGAATCGTGCCATGTGTGTTTGCACTGAATCATGCCATGTGTGTTTGCACTGAATCGTGCCATGTGTGTTTGCACTGAATCGTGCCATGTGTGTCTGCACTGAATCGTGCCATGTGTGTTTGCACTGAATCGTGCCATGTGTGTTTGCACTGAATCGTGCCATGTGTGTTTGCACTGAATCGTGCCATGTGTAGAGTGCACCGCATAGGAGTCGCCGCACTGTTGCACCCCATACTGGGAGGGAATTGTGTCGATTTTATTTGTCTCTAATGTAAACTACCCGTTAAGTCTTCATTCTTACTCAGGCTCTTAAATATAGCCGTTAATCCGTCAAGTCTTGTTCTTCTTCTTTTTTCTTTGCAACCTTCAGTAATCCCTTGACGTCACGCCACCATTCCATGCCCTCATACATACCATAGTATACTATCACACAAACTGTCCCATGCTCTTACACACACCATCCCTTGCTCTCACATGCACCATTCCATGCCCTTAGACACACCATATCATGCAATCACACACAACATCACTCCTTCTTAAGAAAGTTTTTCTTTCTTTCTTTTTGCCATCTGTTTTTTTTTCCGTGCAGTTCATCAACATATCTTCGTGACAGTTTTTTTTTTCTGGAGGGATCTGTTCATCGAAGGAAGTAGTAAAGCAAATGGTAGGGCAACACTTTTCTCCCAGTGTGAACTCTGGCTGTACTCTTTCACCCATGTCCACATGCACCCATGCACGTTCGCATCCATCACATCCATCCCCTTTCATCCGTGCACCCATTCATCCGTATCAATCACCCAATATCAGGTACGTACCCATGTACTCAGTCACCCATGTCCCCGTGCACTCATGTTAACATCAATCACATCAATCACCTGCAGTCGCACTGCTCTGGTCTCCCATGTGAATGCCACGGAAAGCATGCCCACGGAAAGCATGGGAAGCATGCCCATGGGAAGCACATGGGAAGCATCCCATCTCCCCATGCCCCATCCCTGTACATTGATTAGCATGCAATGAATCGAGTCAGATTGAGCTGGGTTTGTTTTCCCGAGTCGCCATTCGAGTCAGATTGAGCTGTATTGTCTTCAAGCCCACTCAGCCTGTTTTTCTCCTTTTCTCTTTTTCCTTCGCTTTCGCTTTTGGCTGGGTGGTTGTTGCTACTAAAGTTCTCTTCTGCTTTTGGCTACCTCTTATTCCATCCCATCCCATCCCATCCCACCCCACCCCACCCCACCCCACCCCACCCCATCTTATCCCGTCCCACCCCATCGCACCCCACCCCACCCCATCCCATCCCATCCCATCCCATCCCATCCCATCCCATCCCATCCCATCCCATCCCATCCCATCCCATCGCATCCCATCCCATCCCATCCCATCCCATCCCATCCCATCCCATCCCATCCCATCCCATCCCATCCCATCCCATCCCATCCCATCCCATCGCATCCCATCCCATCCCATCGCATCCCATCCCATCCCATCCCATCCCACCCCATCCCATCCCATCCCATCCCATCGCATCCCATCCCATCCCACCCCATCACATCCCATCCCATCCTCCATGGCTGTTTCGTCCCCAAAGCTGAGCCCAGGGCAATCCTAATGTTGACATCGTTCCCATGAGTTGCACCTCACTTGCCATATCACTTGTCATCCCAGTCGCCACCTCAGCAGCCATCTCATGTGCTCCTTCACTCCTCACCAGCAGGGCAGCTTGTTACCACCAATAGCTGGTTACCACCAATAGCCAGTTACCACCAATAGCCTGTTACCACCGATAACCTGTTACCACCAACAGCCTGTTACCACCAATAGCTGGTTACCACCAACATGCCCATAAGAACCGCAATCCCTCTCTCTGACCGCCAAACCTCCTTCCCTCCTCTGCTTACCTTCACGCACCCCATCGCCTTCTCTCCCTTCACCCTGCTACCTCACTTCGTTTTCCTCCCTGCTAGCCACTTCCTATGTTCACGAATATCTCACTTTTTTCATCCCCCCATGTTCGAAACGATGTCTTCACTCCACCAACACTCTATTTGCTTGCTGCCTGCTATTCAGTCACATCAATCCGCCCAATTCCTTGCTTCTGCTGCGTGACCCTTTCTATTGCACGTGCACCTACGCCGCACCCAAATACCCATGCACCCATGCATGCACCCATGCATGCACCCATGCATGCACCCATGCACCCATGCACCCATGCACCCATGCACCCATGCTTCCATGCACCCATGCACCCATGCACCCATGCTCCCATGCACCCATGCACCCATGCACCCATGCACCCATGCACCCATGCTCCCATGCACCCATGCTCCCATGCACCCTTGCACCCTTTCAGCCAGGAACTTATTCACCCATGAAAACACGTACCCATGCAGGCACAGATGAAGGTGAGTGTCGTCACGCTCAACACAGCAGCCGGGAGCTGTTCACAAGCTCTCAATCTACACTGCATGATCATCTGGGACCCTCTGCTCTCAAGATTTTCAATCAACATACATATTGATCCAGTACCACAATGACCCGTCTGTGTTGTAGTACATTAGAGATGGTCCTGTGCTTTAGTGTGCTGCTGCACTCTTCTTGGTGAGCTGCACTGCTTCCACCCAGATGCAACAGAGAATTGAAAATCCAATTACTTGCATATTACATGTCCTAACATGTTCCATTATGGTAATATACAGTGTACATAGTGCTACCCACAAGGCTACAAGTCATCACATATTCCCAACAGCAGCTGGGAGTTGTTTCATTGTCACCATTGTTCCACCGGACCCTTCACTGTTGTACCCATGTATATACAGCCCATATTCCTATGGGATGCTCTCATGCTGAGAGCAGCCATTGCAGTGAGGGCTTTTTCAGGAGCTCCTTCTGTGCGCCCTGCTGCTGCTGCAGCCTGGCCTCGCCTGCCTCTCATGCACCAAACCCTCTCTCCTCCCCGCCTGCTGCTTCACCCCCTCCCTGCCACACACGCCACTTGCCACTGCTCTGCCACCTGCTGCCTTCACACCACCCTGCCTTCCACCTGCTGCCCTCCCTGCTGCTCCCTCCCCACACCCACCCTCCTCTCTCCTCTTCACCACACCCGCCTGCCTGCTGCTGGCCTTGCCATTGCCAGCTGCTATCACTGCTGGCCTCGCCTTGCTGCTGCACCCATTTTTACCCCATGCACTTTCAACCCCCACCTTGCACTTTGCTGAAACAGCAGGTCTTGAAACCTGCGCTGCTGCTGCAGCTCCTCTGACTGGTGATGCCAAAGCAGGTGAATGCATTGATGTTGTTGCTGCAGCTGCTACTGGTGCTGCTGCACATGGGGTACGCATTGGCTTCTGTAGTATTGCTGCAGCTCCTCTCACTGCTGTTGTTTTTGCTGCTGCAGATACTGCAGAGGGAGCAGGTGCTGCTGCTACAGTCGCTGCTGCTGCAGATGCAGGAGGCACGGTTTTGCGAGTCAGATTCGCCACAGCATCAGGATGCTTGGGCAAGAAGCAGACACGCAGGGCGGCTTCAATGGCCGCTTCAATCTCCATGGCCCTCCATGCTTGAGCACGTGTCATTGCAATATCCATTGCTCGAACCTCCTGACGCAGCTTCGACCACCTCGCTTTCTCACTCGGATCAGCAGCACGTGCACTCGCCTCCTCAGACCTTGTTTCTGTGGTCACACACGCTTCAGGCACCTGTGGTGTGGTTGAAGCCACTGGAGCCACAGGCGCTACCTCAGGCACCACCACAGGCGCAACCGCAGCAGATGGTGTGACTGCAGCAGCAGCAGATGGTTGGAGTGGAGCAGCAGTGACGACCACAGGTGCAGGTGCGAGCACGGCAGCAGCAGGCTTGCCTCCGAAGCGGCCGATTCCAGGCCGCTTCACATCAGGCGCGTCAGGGACAACGTGCACCTTGGCGGGCTTGTGCTGCCCGTCAGCGACGCCTTGGGAGGCCAGTTTCTCCAGCAGCGGCCTCACGCTCTTCAGAAGCACGCTGCTGCAGCATGTCTCACCGTCACCTTTGCAAGCAGCAGGCTTGACAGGAGAGGATCTTACAGGCGAGAAAACGGTTCGCGGGGTTCCGAACCTGCCAATGCCTCTGGTAGGCGTTACAGGACTAACGCCGAGTGGGAAACCGAGTTAACAGCGCAGATATCAGCGAGAGAGGCCATGTTACGTGACTGAAGATCGCTGAACAGAAACTGATCGTTGGACAGAGACTGATTTTCGGAAGTTTTTTCACTGCAGATCGACAGAACGGCAGAGGAAGTGGGAATGAAAAGTTCCAACCCTGACGACCCCATTTCTACTGCACGCCGCCCTCGCCTGCTCGAACCCCCCCCGTCTCCACCCCCACATGCCTTGTCTGCCTGAACATCGGAGTTCCAGCCTCGGCCTGCTTTGCTGTCTACTCGTACGCATGCCACGTGTCGGAAATCGAACGGTGGGAGATGAAGCAACAAGGTGTGCGGACGGATCTCAAGGCGTATTTTGCTGGGGTTCAGGTTCGGGATCTCGATGGCGTCGCGTCAGGCATAATAATCGGGGGTGGGAGGTTCGGGGAGAGCCTGTCGGTGTCGGTGGGTTTCAGATCCTTGAGTCCCTCGAGTCGCCTCACCAGTTTCCCGCCATCATTTTTGTTCTCGATTTCTTCCCTAGCCGTTCCTACGAGCTTTGTTACAACAAACCGTATGGATACGATTTTCGGTAAAAAAAACTTCGCACAACGATAACGCGACGGGTCTATCGGTTTCCTCTCGTAGCATGGTGTGTGAGGCAGAAGGGTTTGGGCCGTGCTGTGCTACTGAGCTGATTTGGGTCGGATTCAGGAGGCATTGGGATTGCCTGCTGTGTGCTGCGGAGAATCGAGGGGGAAAGTGGGAGTCCCTATGCCAGCATCTCTTGTGTTGTCCTCTTTATATGCAGTCGTCTTATCGTCTGGGTGGGAATTCATTTCAAAATGCAATATTCATTGAAATTCCCTATGCCAGATTGGATACACGGATTTTGAAATGTATTGTTGACGGAGGTAGGTCTGTCCGGTACGAAGCGGCAATAAGAGTGTTGATCGCGGTGCAGTGTGTTTCAACGGCAGCCAGGCGTGATCACGTAGGGCCCCGAGCAGCCCATCTTGATATGAAGGTGAATCACTAGCAGTCACGAGCACCATGACATAAAAAGCCCGCACGCGATTACGAGCGCACGGGCGACTACGAGCGTGGAGGCGATCACGAGCGGGCAGGCGATCACGAGCGTGTAGGCGATCACGAGCGCGCAGCGCGCCAGAGATTACGAGAGCATAAGCGATTACGAGCGCGAAAGAAACTACAAGCGCAGAAGCGATTGTGAGCGCAGAAGCGATTGCGAGCACAGGAGAGAATTCCGAGCCTTGATTACGAGTAGGAATTGAACTAATCGTACAAGCGATCTCAAGACAACCTTTTAGGAGGTTCACTCTCGAAATGCGACTGTCACGCTGCATTCTCGCCGTTTCATGCTGGCGGGACATGCGAACTCCCACGCAGCCCTCACCATTGGCCGTCTCCCAGCCGGCGAGTGGCCGTCATGTCCAACGTGATCGCGTCCGAGCCTGTAGCCCTCGCCCAATCAGATCGCCCCAACCGACTCGCAGGCTTGAAATTAGGGTGAGCGCGCGACGAGGTGAGCGAACGACGACGGGAGTGCAGGAGTCAGGACGGGCGGACGGAACGGAAGGAGCGGAAAGGGCGGAAAGAGGGAAAAGACGAGATAGAGAAGAAGGTTTGAGAGCGTTTGTCGCACAAGGGGAGGAACGGGCGGAGAGAAAGGAACAGAAAAGTCCGTGGACGCCGTGGAAATCTCGGCGGGGATGGAGGGAGGCTCCCTCACCATCCTATGCCATCACCCAGCCAATTTCATGCATCCCGCTCACACACTCCATCCCGTGCAATCATACAGCGCATTGCATGCCATCTCACAAAAACATCATCCCATACCATCCCACATCAGGCCATCTCATCCACACATCATCC